AACTGTTATCGTTAGCGTTACTGTACAACACACACATAACCACCTCCTCACTCCCTCACCACGAGAACTTCTCCCTCACAACACACCGAGATAAGTTAACAAACAACGACTTGATATACATAATGGTGGTTGAGGATGAGACGACTCTCGATGTCTCACCAGGGAAGATAAATATAAAGTTTCTTCGGTGTTGCCGCCATCCGCAGATAAACGATAGATAAGGTAAATAAGGAAGTTGTGTCACTTCCGAGAAATGAAGCAAAAAATCAAACACGATGGAATATTAAGATGAGCTAACCGATACTGAAAACAACATCGATGCCTCAGAGGTTCTTTATGATCGTTGTCATGATAACGAAAAGGTTTAACAATTACCAGTATCCAATAATGTACAGAGGCCCTCACGCTCTTAGCTCGGGCGGGTGGAAACAAAACTTACACTGAAAATATCTTAAAAATTCATCAACAATTTTTTTTTTTTTTTTCTTTTTACGGGGAATAGCCCACCCGGGCACAGGTCATCGACCCACATCGAGGCCTAGGTGGCGAAAAAAGAAAAAAAAGAAAAGGTAAAGGTTATATTAATCTACACCACGAAGATGCCAGAAGACCAGCTTTTTAAAGCGAGACAGATTGCATGAGTGTGGAAATACAGAAGAAGGCAGAGCATTCCACAGATTGGCTGTGTGAGGAAAGAAGGATGTACTATAACGGGTTATCCTAGTGTGACCGACATCCACAGAGAAATGGTGGGCACCGCGGGCAAGACGTGTGCTGGCGGTACACAGGATGCCAAATCCCCCGAACATTGCCCGTTAAAGTACCTGTAAAAGAGAGAGAGTGAAGCAACATTGCGACGAAGAGAAAGGGAAAAAAGATTGTCAACTAAAGGAGGAGAGTTAATAAGACGAAATGTCTTTGATTCCACCCTATCTAACAGTTGGACAGAAGAAGAGAGCAGATATGAGAGCAGTACTCTAAGTTAGGACGAACGACTCCCTTATATACTTGAAGCAACTGCTCAGGAGCGAAGTAACTACAGCATCTGTACAGCATTCCCATCTTTCTGGAGGCAACTTTAGTAATGTTGAGGATATGTGGCTTCCATGACATAATAGAGGAAATGGTGAGGCCTTGCATATATATTTTAGAATTTGGCAGAATGATAGCGTCCTGAAATATGATTGGTGGGAGATCATCTAATTTGGAAAGTGTAATTGGTAAATACTGAGTTTTATTACTATTGAATTTAACGAAGTTTCTACCTCCCCATTTAGAGATGCTGCACAGATCTGCATTGACAGATGTAATGATATCAGCTCTAGAAACAGATCTAGTTTGAGAATTAGGGGGAAGGGGAAAATGTGAAGAAGAGTGAAGAGTAGAATCATCAGTGTAAGAATGGATAGCATTAGTTGTAGTGTGAAATAAATCATTGATAAAAAGAAGGAAGGGAGTAGGTGAAAGAGCAGAACCCTGTGGGACACCACTATTGGTAGAGAAAGAGCGAGAGGTCGATCCCTCGACAACAACTGCCATGGATCAGTTCGCAAGGAAGCTAGAGATTAGAGAACAAAGTGGGGGAGAGAAACCATAAGAGGGAAGTTTAGACCCATTTTTATTACTACTACTACTACTACTACTTACTACTATTTTTCTCTATGGGTCATTAAAGATTCCATGTCAAGGAACTAATAATTAACACCAATGGGACAACTAATTTGAGGCGATATTTTTGAAGAGATAAAAGAAAAACTATTTATATCTGGGACACCTGAAGATTAGTATCCCAGCTTATTTCACCTTAAGATTAACAACCCAAATTTATTCTAATCTAATCTAACCTAATGAAACCAAACCAAATATAACCTAACCTAACCTAACCTAACCTAACCTAACCTAACATAACCTAACCTAACGCAGCTAACCCAAGTCACCGTCTACAGCACACGTCACCAACGGTCTCCATTATATGCACTCTTACCATCCTGGAAACACACAACTCAGCAAACGATTTTCCTCCACCAATACAACACTAATCATCGTTCTTGGACGATATTGCCTGGATTACAATAGCGATATAAACAAAAGAAAAGTTGATGTAGCAATGGTGAATTTAGTATTTACCACAACAGAAAATAGCTGATTGGAGTAACGATTTATCCAGCATCTCTCCCGACTGTTCCATGCAAGGCCCCGCTGTGTGGCAGATTCATTTCACTGTGGAGTTTTAATAAGCAGCTGTCTTTATACGAGGTTCACAGGCATTGTCTATCTTATGTTTATGTCTCTGACACACACACACACACACACACACACACACACACACACACACACACACACACACACACACACACACACACACACACACACACACACACACACACACACACACACACACACACACACACACACACACACACACACACACACACACACACACACACACACACACACACACACACACACACACACACACACACACACACACACACACACACACACACACACACACACACACACACACACACACACACACACACACACACACACACACACACACACACACACACACACACACACACACACACACACACACACACACACACACACACACACACACACACACACACACACACACACACACACACACACACACACACACACACACACACACACACACACACACACACACACACACACACACACACACACACACACACACACACACACACACACACACACACACACACACACACACACACACACACACACACACACACACACACACACACACACACACACACACACACACACACACACACACACACACACACACACACACACACACACACAGTTGTAGGAAGAGCATCATAATCTGATGATCCCCAGCCAAGGTGTTAATTAATTAAAGTGTTTGTACAGGTGTTAATGCATGAAAAGATAAACATTTAGGGTTTTTACTTACTCTGTTTAGGTGTTAATGAGTAAAACGGTTGATAATTAGTCTGTACAGGTATTATTAGGTCAATAATATTACTATTAAACTTCGTTCAGGTGTTTTTGAATAATGTTAATAATTAGTCTTTGAACATTAATGTGGAAGCTGGGTGAGGGTCACCACCTCAGTCAACGGGCTGTTTGTCACTGTGTCATCTATACTAATACACTGTTATAGCTCCCGTTTGAGTCTGTAATGATCCCAGTGGTCACACAGTACGACAAACTCTAATAAGTTTTTCAATTAATATTTTTGTTGTTAAACGAAACCCGTCATCAACATGCAGAAGAGGAGAAAAACTCACCTGCGAATATTATGAAAATTAAATTGTACAATAATGTGAGGCAGAGTGTAGGTGATGGCGTGCTGGAGGCCATCCTAGTGTGGGTGAGGCCAGGTGACACCTGCCACCACCACCAAGAGTGTGAGGCCAGGTGACACCTGCCACCACCACCAAGAGTGTGAGGCCAGGTGACATCTGCCACCACCACCAGGAGTGTGAGGCCAGGTGACATCTGCCACCACCACCAAGAGTGTGAGGCCAGGTGACATCTGCCACCACCACCAAGAGTGTGAGGCCAGGTGACACCTGCCACCACCACCAGGAGTGTGAGGCCAGGTGACACCTGCCGCCACCACCACCACCAGGAGTGTGAGGCCAGGTGACACCTGCCACCACCACAGGAGTGTGGTGAAGGTGTGGAGGGAGAAGGGACCTGTGTAGGTTGTGAGACCCTGGGTGGCCCATCAGGAGGGCGGAGGTAAATAACCACGTTTGAGGTAACGACAAGGTTCCAGCTGTGTGTACACAGGTCTCAGTCTTGCAGAAGTCCACCCAAATAACAGTCATTAGCCAGAGACAATGTCCAACTTCTTTATTCCATAACTCATAAATGTATGAACAGTGAACAGTAAAGGCGCCGACCAACGTCTAGGTTCTAAAGAAGAGTAAAGGCTTGTGTATGTATCGTGTTACGTCAAGATCTTCCCAGGGTGTTGATCAGGGAGGAGAGCGATTGTGTGTGAGGGGGATCGTGCTGCCAGGACTGGACTGAAGCAAGTGTTGGTAGTTAGGAAGGCGGTGAAGATCACTGAATAAAAACACTTAAAGGAAGGAGATCACCTAGACATCAATATCATCATTATTATTGGCAACTTAAACTTGGAATATAACTAGTGTACAAGAGACCCGCCGAGCCTTACTGTTTATCATGGATGTTAATAACTGATGTCGAACACAAATCTGAACGGAGACCATTCAAGGAGCTTCCCGACACAGTTTCATTAAGAGGGACAGACGACAGACAGGAGATCATAGCTGTAATTCATTCAGACAGACTAACACAAAAACAAAAAACAGTTCGACTTTAAGAACTTTTAGACAAAATACGATAAAAACAAGGTGGTTCGAGCGGGCGGAAAGGCTTGTAGCACAGTCTGTAAGAAAAAAGTTTTGAATATTGAAAAGAAATCGATGTAGCGTGTTTGTGGGAGTGATGGGTGGGCCGTGAGAGGCGCAGCAGCGGTGTCGTGGACTATAACACACGTACAGGAAGGTGCGACGATCACGACGGCGTTGACAAGCACAGAGGAAGTCGTCTTCCGCTGAAGCTCGCAAGCGAAGCTCAAATATTGAAGAGGAAGGCAAGCGTGTAGAGGGACAGCTGTGTGGCTCTGGAGAGTTGGTGTAAAATAGTGGCATAACTTTTGATCAACGAGATAAATCCGGGAAATTGTGGAACTGCAGCCAATGTCCTTAACGTTCACACTATTGTTTACTCTCTCAGCCATCTTCAATACTGTGGTGGAACCCGCAGTGTTCTTCCTAAAGACCCAAACAAACACTAGAGCTGTATGTGTGATGCCCATCTGGCTGGTCACCTCCCTCTCCCCTTACTACTGTAACAGATACTTCATACTATGGCAGTAAGTATTCACGAGAGCGAAGGTACTATGGTAACATGTACTCAAGTAGGCCTATCTGGCAACAAGTACTCACGTGGAAGGCGGAGTCGTAGCTTATCTTGGCAATGGACATCTTCTTGGCGGCGCCGGAACCCCAGCAGCAGCGGTCGGCCACGTGGGCCAGGAGTGCAGCCCGGGCCTGGTGGTCGGTGATTTGCGGGCCAGGTGGCAGCGGTCCGCGCGTCTCCGTGCGGTCACGGTCCTCCTCCACACCTCCATTAGGCGGCGGCACCGATACTGTGGGAGAGAGTTGGACTTTAATTGTGAGGACAAGTTCGGTATACTGTAGGGAGGGGGGTAGTAGTGGTGCTGGAGGGGGGAGGGTAGTGGTGCTGGAGGGTAGTATGGTGCTGGAGGGGGTGTAGTGCTGCTGGAGGGGTGGTGCTGGAGTAGTGGGGTGTGAGTGGTGCTGGAGGGTGTAGTGGTGCTGGAGGGTAGTAGTGGTGCTGGAGAGGTGCTGGAGGGGGTAGTGCTGGAGGGGTAAGTAGTGGTGCTGGAGTAGGGTAGTGGTGCTGGAGGGGGTAGTAGTGGTGCTGGAGGGGGTAGTGGTGCTGGAAGTGGTGGAGGGGGTAGTGGTGCTGGAGGGGGGTAGTGGTGCTGGAGGGGGCAGTAGTGGTGTGCTGGAGGGGTGGTGGTGCTGGAGGGGTAGTAGTGGTGCTGGAGGGTAGTAGTGGTGCTGGAGGGGGTAGTAGTGGTGCTGGAGGGGGTAGTAGTGGTGCTGGAGGTAGTAGGAGAGTAGTAGTGGTGCTGGAGGGGGTAGTAGTGGTGCTGGAGGGGGTAGTGGAGCTGGGAGGTAGTAGTGGTGGTGCTGGAGGGGTAGTAGTGGTGCTGGAGGGAGTGTAGTAGGAGGTGGTGCTGGAGGGGTAGTAGTGGTGCTGGAGGGGTAGTAGTGGTGCTGGAGGGTGTAGTGGTGCTGGAGGGTAGTAGTGGTGCTGGAGGGGGTAGTGGTGCTGGAGGGTAGTGTGGTGCTGGAGGGGTGGTGGTGCTGGAGGTAGTAGGTGCTGGAGGGTAGTAGTGGTGCTGTAGTAGTGGTGCTGGGGGCAGTGGTGCTGGAGGTGTAGTGGTGCTGGAGGGGTAGTAGTGGGTGGGAGGCAGTAGTGTGCTGGAGGGGGTGGCTGGAGGGGTGGTAGTGGTGCTGGAGGGCGGTGGTACTGGGGAAGTACCAAATGAGAGTAATTTGTTCAGTGGCAGACAGGCAGAATTAATAATTATGTGGGGTGGTAGCAGTGGTACTAGGGGGGGGGGTGGGTCGACGCTTACGCAATCAAAGTTACGCGAGAGGGTGACGAAGTAGTGTCAGGGAGGGAGGTGGAGAGAGCAAAAGAATTGACGTTGTTGTTGGTGCCAATACTAGTGTGTGTGTGTGTGTGTGTCAGAGAGCAGTACCAGGATGGGGTCATTCAGTAATAGGTACAAGGGAACTAGTAATGTCAAGACACTGTTGAGTTTCAGGATAATTCAAACGAACATTCAGTCAGCAACATTAGGGACTGCTAGACTAGCCTCATGCAGGACTGTGATGTATGTGTGTTGTGCAGCACCTTCGGTTCACCAACATTCTAAGACACTGATACCTGGGACACCGTTGTAATTTATACCATGTTAAATTATCTTTAAAAAAAAGTAGTCCAGGTGAGTTTTAGAATGGTGGTGAGTGTAACAAGTGAATGACTCCACAAGGTTGTACATATTATACTGCATGACTAAAACACGGCGGAGTCCAGTGTATTCAAGCCTCAGCGATCAGCTGCAGTCACAACTTTACTGAAACAAGTCCGAGGTGTAAACCCTCGGACTACACTCACTGTTCACGTCATAGAGGTCATTCTCACACACAGGGTAGTTCTTGAGGTGAAGCGACGAAGCAACAAGGTCAAGATCACAGAGCAGGTGCTGAAAGGTAGGCAAGTAGGGGTCGAGGACGGAGGGCCGTGAGCGGGGCGACTTGTTAGACTCAGAGGAGTGGTCGAGAATGTCCCTTTCCTTGCGGTTGGAGCGCTGCAACCTGTTGTTGCCCCGCGTCCCGCGCCAGTTGATGATGGTCCCTGACCCGTCCTGCACCGCCGACAGCCCAAGACTTGGGTAGTTCTCGATAAGCTCGAAGGTGAACTCTCCGCCGGCTTCAGCCCTGAGCGGTCCGGCGATGCGGCCGCCGCGCTGGTCCAGAAGAAGGACTCGGCGCGGCGGCGGCGGACCGTTGTTAGAGGTGCTGCAGGCAGCCGTCGTGGTCGTGGTTGTCGCCACGTGGACGCGAACCACTTCCTCCTGATGCAACACCCTCCCATTCATGGCCGCCCCCCGCCCCTGGGCCGCCCAGCCGGCGTGGGCGAGCAGGTCCGGGGCCCCTGGGGGCGGCCGGGGGGTGTCCCTAGGGCCCGTGCCTGGGAGCCCTCACACCCACGCGTCCTCTGGCGGGCGACAGCAGTTCAGTTCATGTCCGGGACTCGCTAGTCACCGTGGCGGCGACCATGGCGCCCGGCATGGTTCCGGGGCCAGACACCACGAGCACGTCATGCCGCTACTGTAGCCTCACCATCACACGGCCGGGCAGCACTAGTTCACCTCCTGGCGGGGCACCAACTATCTCACCATCACACGCGCTACCACTGCCTCACCATCACCCGGTACCTGTGTCTCACCATCAGCCGGGGTCACCAGCAGTCTCAGTCCTCCCGCCCGCTGACACTCCTCGCCCAGGTTGGCTGTGTGTACCCTGCCACCTCCCCGCGCCCTCCACTCCTTGCCCGTCGCCACGCCACTCTCGCACCTCACTCCTCACCTCTCCCTCTCCCACCGCTGCTACCTCCTTCATTCACGCCATGTCTCCCTCATCAGCACTGGCGTGGGGAGGGGGCGCTCTGGTTGAGGAGGAGGCGCAGTTGTTGGCGTGGGGGACACTCTTATTAAGGAGAAAAGGCAGCTGTGGGCGTGGGGGGAGCGCTCTTTTTTATGAGGGCGCACAAGTGTGGGCGTGGGGGGGAGGGGCGCAGGTAGCGTGTTCTCTGACGCTCTGTCGTGCTGAGGTGAGACCTGGGCGAGGTGTGAGTGGATCAGGGCGCCGCTCAGCTTAATTTTGCTCAGTGTCCAGTTAGCTGCCGGGGAAGAGAGTGTGGGGTTGAGGGCTGTGGTGCAAGACACTTTCCTCGGCTCTCACAGCACAACACCGACAGTAGTTTCTCAAAATCCTACACAAACTCGGTCACTGTAACAACGTGTAACACAGTCTGCCACGTAACGCTGTGTTCTATACCTGCCTTGCAATTAAATTCATGAAGTGTGGCGTGAACGGTGACTCAAACCGTAACCTGTGACTCAACCAATGACACCGTGACTCAACCAATGACACCGTGACTCAACCAATGACACCGTGACTCAACCAGTGACACCGTGACTCAACCAATGACACATGACTCAACCAATGACACATGACTCAACCAATGACACATGACTCAATGACACGAGACTCAACCAATGACACGTGACTCAAACAGTGGCAGGTGACCCAACGTTTAAATTAGAGACCCTAATTTATTCCACCTTCTAACTAAACATCATCAACATTACCTAATTGGGGGGCTAGCGTTAGGTTAGGTTAGAGTTAAGTTAGGTTAGGTTAGGTTGGCGTTAGGTTAGAGTTAAGTTAGGTTAGGTTGGCGTTAGGTTGGCGTTAGGTTAGAGTTAGGTTAGGTTAGGTTAGTGTTAGGGCGTGAAGTGTTTGGGGTGTTTAATTATCCGACAATGACCAAAACCAATAAGCTTTTTCCTCGACCTGAGCGGTATGTGTGTGTGTCAAGTTTTGTTGACATGTATGAAGCAGCACATAAGTTATTATCCGGATAAGATAGTGTTAACGGACAAACGGACTGACGAACACAAGGAAAATAAGACGACTGTATAAAAACGTACGTGTTGGTGGGTGATGACGGGGAGGAGACAGGAAAGGAGGGAAAAAAGGGGGGGTGTGACGTAGAGTGACAGAAGGGGTTAACAGAGGGTGGAGGAGGTGAGTGCTAGGCCAAACCCGCGGCCAGGAGGGGGGGGGGGCAGGCAAAAAATACCTCACCCTCGGAACACTCAACAAACACTTGAGTACTTCAAAGTGGGTGACCTGTCCCTCGAGGGTTACCCCTGACTCACCTCCAGGTTCTCTCGAAGGAGCTCTAAACACCTGTGAGTCACTTCAGGTATACCCATGAGTCACTGAGCTAACTTCAGGTATCCAAGAGTCAGCAGCAGAGTCAGTAGTGAGCTAGACACACGACAGAGCTCTTCCTCAATGATGATCTAAGGTGTTATTTCCGCAGGTAATTTGTCACGTAGTTCTCACCCGGATTTAGGAGCATCATGGATGACTCTCTGACTTTCACTGCTGGACAAAGCTCTCAACACCCACAAGCAGCTAAGTCCTCACCCCTCCCTCACGTCCGTCTCCATCAGGAAGACTCTCCCAGGTACAAGTCTCAGCACAGTTTTGACGCCATTTGTACATCAGACTTTGTGTTTGATTAAGTTAGCCAGTTAGATATTCTTTCAAAACAACATATTGAGGAAAGTTTAACGTACTAGGTTATGAGAATCCGCGCCCTGGTCATTTTTCGAGCGTTTTAGCGGCTTTACTCATGTGACTGTTACCGCCGAGTCTGAGCCCAACCATCAGTTCACTTGCTGGAGCTGGCTGAGGCGAGAACCTCCGTCGGCCGAGACATTCTCTGTTTTAACTCCTTCACTACAAGGACGTGAACCACTTTTAATATTTTATCTGGGTGACGCCTGACGATGTTACTCATCATATAGATACCTCCTGAAGGTGAAGGAAGACCAAGACGTTATGTAATTACAGTACTTAAACGAGTGTGTTCTGGTGATGCCCCTCCCCCTCCCTCCCCGGCTGTAGTTTATTACACAACGAGTCATCACTCCCAAGACCACTGGAGCCGAACCCTTATGACACGAGCACGTAACTCACCTATACACACCGTTTATAACAAGTGGACGAGTTACTTAAATTATTATTATAGACAAATAGTTAGTCAGAAAGAGACATAGACAGTCAATGTCAATCTCTCTCTCTCTCTCTCTCTCTCTCTCTCTCTCTCTCTCGTCTGTGAACAAAAACGCTAAATATAAACAAGGGTTGACCATCTCGGCGCCAATGTACTGAACAATCTGAGAGAGGGTGAGGCGCGTCACCTCCACAGTCCACTGATAGTAAGGCCGCTCTTATACTACAGTGTTCAAACAGATGACCTTCCATCCTGGCACAAAATGAACTTTGGAACTCGTCTGGTGCACAAAGGGGGGAGCGTTCCTTCCCGGATACATCATTCCTGTCTAACATATTCTTACATGACGGAGAGGCTGCAGGTGTAGGAGGTATATCTGGCGCCGGGTGGATCACTGTGCATGACCCACCTGCCTAAACAACAGTCTATCATTATCTTCCTCACTTTTTTTTCTTTTATTCCCCTAAAAAAAAAAAATACATGATCCTTCTTCTACAGCCAGTGACGTGAGTACCTGTCCCGCCCTTGTTTTGTTGGCGGTCTGTCTGTAAGTTTTCCTTCCTGGCCAAAAGTGAGTAATTAACCAGGTGTCGTACAGGTAAAATACACCATGAATCTCTTCCTGGATTTTGTACTTGGCTGTTATGATATATTATTCCAGCTTTATGTACGAGTTATCATACGTGTATACTTGTGACCTTCACCTAAATCAACTTTAAATTTAGGGTTGTGTTACCTGTGTACTGACTATACGGATCACTGAGAAACATTCATCATGAGAACTTTATTGACACAAGAGTTTATGTCCCGAATAAGGAAACGTTTAATGGACAATCAAACGTGAAATATTTCCTTTACAAACGTGAGAATATTGTCAATAAGATAAATCACAATCGGTGGAGCCAAATAACATGTGTTGAGGGAGTTTCATTCCGGGTCATCACTCACTACCTGACGGAGACGCTGGAGAAGTAATGACTCACTGGAGACGTTTTGTGCCGCGATATAACCTTATAGTAAGAACCGCCTCGACATACACAGCTTTACCCGCTAAATTACCTTCCTGGGTAGACTCATATTACATCCTGGCCACATACCACAGCCTGGCCATACACCATAGCCTGGCCACACACCACAGCGGGGCCACACACCACAGCGGGGCCACACACCACAGCGGGGCCACACACCACAGCCTGACCACACACACACACACACACACCACGGCCTGGCCACACACCACAGCGGGGCCACACACCACAGCCTGACCACACACACACACACACACACACACACACACACACACACACACACACGGCCTGGCCACACCACAGCCCTAGCCACACACCACAGCAGGCCACACACCACAGCTGGGGCACACACACAGCCGGGCCACAGCCGCCTTTGTGTCGCAGTTTCTCAGGTCTATTAATCACCTCCTTGAGTTGAACGTCTCCATCTGGCAGGAGATGACAGGGGTGGGGGGCGAAGGGGGGGGTTGAGGTGAGAGAATGGGGAGGGAGCGAGGGAGGGGAGATGAGAGAAGGGGGGAAGGGGGGGAAGGTGAGAGGAGGAGATGACGAGAGGAGATTTGGGGTGAAAGTAGGAGGAGAGGAGGTGTCGGGCGAGAGGATCAGAGTGAGGGAAGGGGTGAGGGGAGGAAGGTAGAATGGGGAGAAGGTGCGCTTAGTTAAGGGGGTGTGACCTTTCCACCCACATCTCTCTCTCTCTCTGTCTCTGTCTTTCTCTCTCTCTCTCTCTCTCTCTTCTTTCCCTTTATCCTTAAATTCGCTTGTGAATGAGAATAAGGGGAGAGGAAATAGGTAGGGGAGGGAAATTAGGTAGGGGAAGGGGAGGGGAAGTAGGTAAGGGGAGGAAGAATAAAATTAGATAGGAGGAGGGGAAGGGGGAAGTAAGGAGGGGTAGGGAAGGGGGAATAGGACGGGGAAGGGAAGCAGGTAGGGGGAGGGGAAGTAGGAAGGGGTAGGGAAGCAGGTAGGGGGAATAAGGGGCATAAATGGGGGAATTGGGCATCATTTAGGGTGAGGTCACTTGGCATACCTATCAACACTATGGTTGAATTAATCAATCACAAATTAGTGTTGACAAAATTCTATTAAATGAAAGGATTTAAAACAATGATTAGTTACCATAAATACATACCGCCCCTCATCCCCCCCCCTCACACGACCCTCCTCCTCTTCCCCAACTCTCCTTTTCACCCCCAGGGCCCATACACCCCCACCTTCCCCCGACGCCTCTCTTCCCTTCTCTCCCCTCTCTTCTCTCCCCGTCTCCCCTCTCCACCCCGGTATGTCTTCACTAGCCCCTCATCACACTCAGGTTACATATACATTCTGTAAGTATAATTTTCTCCCTTTAACGGTATAAAATAAACGTTATCTAGGTGAGGTAGAGTCTCAGTGTAACCTTGATTTATGACATTGTTTTGGTGTTAAGTGACTAAGGTGATCTTATTTAATATCTCCAGTTTGGGAATATAGTCATCATAGCAAAGGACTGAGAATCTATTTCTATATCGTAACTTCAACTTAACCAGTCTTACGGATCCATTTACGGGACAAAAATATTCAACCTACGATCTTTTGAGAATCTATCTTTGTGTTACAGATTAAGTCATGGCAGTTGGACACATTTTCACGTCTTCATTTAGGAGAAATATTCAAGGTGCCAACTACTGAGAACTTTGGACCAGAGTCACAAGATGAGTGTGTCGACTGCTGGAGGAGGACGGGAGGGCTGGAGGAGGAGGGCTGGAGGGCTGGGGGAGGAGGGCGGGAGGGCTGGGGGAGGAGGCGGAAGATAGAGGGAACGAGGATAGGAGGGCCGAGACTGGAGGAAGGAGGGCTGAAGGTGGAAGGCAGGGGGACAAGGGGGGGGCAGGCAGGGGCAGGGCAGGGAGGCAGGACAAGGAGGCAGGCAGGAGGGTAGGGCAGGGGGCAGGACAGTGGGCAGAGCAGGGGGGCAGGAGGTCAGGGAAGGGGGGGAGGGTAGACCAGAGGGTGTAGTGGTAATGCGAGGATGGAAACTAAACAGCGGTGGTAGAGGCGGGCGAGCTGCTCACACCACTACCTCACTAATATGCAAATATAAAGAAAACTTGAAGGGAGTGACTGACGGGAGGGAAGGAATGTGATGGTGGAGGGACGAGGTGTGGCGAGTGTGGTGGTGGAGGCACTTGAAAACTTTCACCACCGTAGTCGACGTTCCATCCTTCGAGTTCGCTGGG